GGGCTTCCCACGAAGAGCCCAGAGGGAAGCTGAAAATGCTGGTGAGGGGAGGTCAAAGAGAGGGCAGCGTAAGAAGTTTTACTCCAGTCATCAATTGACTGGCTTGTGCACGTTTGAGAGCGTGCTGACGAAGGGTTCAGGAAGGACAAAATGGGCAGGGAAGCTAAGGGGGCTTTGGAAACTCATTTCCTTTCAGGTCATTTCCAATGGCCCAAGGGACGAGGGGAACTAGAGCATCCTTTGTCAGAGGTGATGAAGGACACGTAGCTTAATCTGTGGGCTTTCTGAACTCTGGGAACAAGTGTGTGTCTAGCCAATCTACTTTTGTGTTCATGTGATCTGAGGTCTGTTTACCCTGCTTCTGTTTTGGGCTCAGGCATTTGCATGCCATAATTGAACTGAGCCCTGGGATTATTCAGCCCTACCTACTTAGCATTAGAGCGAAGAATTGCAGTGTTTAGAGGCTCCCATTTGATGCCAAGACTCTATCATCCCTAAGTGTGATAGGTCTAGTTTGGGGCATAGCATCTTTTTTGAGGGGGGGCTGTCATGTGTCGGTGTGTTCCCTCTTTCCAGTCTCCTGTTTTCACCCTCGCTGGTCTGTTGCCTGAAGACAGCATTTCTCTGACTTTTGACCAAGAGCCCTGATCCCTTCCATCCTCCGGATGCCCTGCCATGGACCGGTCTTCTTGGGCTTGCAGGTTCTCTCCTTTCCTCTCGAAAAGTCCCATCCTCTGGGCTTTAGATTGCAGTCGGAATTGTTCACTGTGATCTATGTCTTCACAGATTGGCTCCTGGATAAACATTACTGCATCTGAGTTTCCATTAAAACAGATGTACGGTCCGTAGTTCATTGATCGCATTCAAAATTAATTTCAGCCCTCCGAAGTTTAGCTCTCTGAATGGTAATGTTTTCTTAAGGCGTTTTCAAACAAGAAGAGGCCGCTGAATCTTGTTCTTTCTTAAGGAGTGCTGCTGCAGTTCCCAGGAAGCACAGAAAGCTTTGGGAAGGTCTCCTCACACTATCTATTCAGGGTGACCTCAAGGAGATGGGGACAAGTGGTCAGTGAGAGCGACAGCAGCCAGCAGGAGGGTTTCCTCCAGCTTTAAATAGAGGTCTTTCTTGAGCCCTGGTGGTAGTTGAGTGTGCGTGTCAATGGTACTGCTGGTGCCACTGTCCTTACGGATGAGGAGTGTGTGTGTGTGTGTGTGTGTGTGTGTGTGTGTAGAGGGGGCTGTCTGCCCGCCATCCAGTGCCCACACACACACACACACACACTCATTCACTCCCTAACTAGCCTTAACAGGGGGCTGTGCCCAGTCTTAGGAAACAATCTACAAGTGCCTCTGCGCTATAAATAGAGCAGTGGGCTTCTAGTCACAGGCCCCTGAAGGAGCCGAAGAGCAAAGCCCTCTGTCAATGGCTTGACATGGGTGTTTCCAGATTGCAAGGTTACTGGTCTTTTTTGGCTTGGTTTGACTCCTTGTCTGTAATTCAGATGACCTTTGGGTGGTGGTATCGGCTTAGGAGGCCTAGTGGTGCAGTGAGTTAAGCATTGTGGGGGCCAATAAGCTGGAAGGAAGGTCAGTGGTTTGAACTCACCAGCCTCTCCCCAAGGAAAGACACAGCTGCCTGCGTCCCTAAGGATTTACAGCCTTCCAGACAGTCCCGCAGGCTGGCTGTGAGTCAGAATTGGGGCAGTGGGTTAGAGTTAGTGTTCAGTTAAAAAGAAGATGTGTGCACATACTCAGGTTTATCCGAAAGTATGCCTTGCTGGAACCTCCCTCCAGGAGCCCTAGTGGCCTATACGTTGGTATGCTAAAGTAAGGTCAGCAGTTCAAACCCACTAGCCTCTCTGAGGGGAAGAAAATAAGGCGCTCGGCTTCCATAAAGGTTTACAGCCTCAGAAACGCACACGGGCTTCTCTGTCCTACAGGGTTGCTGTGTGTCAGAATCACCTCAATGGCAGTGAGTAAGGGG